GGGTTACTCTTTATCACATACAGATTTAATCCTGAACTATTGGCTCCGATTTTGTCTAATTTGCAGTTTTAATTTGAAAAATGTTAGTTCTTTTTACATTTAATGTTTTTATTGTTAGCTACTGATTCTTATATTGATTTACCTTTGACTATTCGTAGGAATATAACTTTTGATTTTGGCTCCAAGAGGTGGCATTCTCAAAATTTTTTCTGAGGTGGTTTTGTTTAGAGTGGAAGGACTGCTATTCACTGGGCAGCTGCTGGCGGATGCCTAGAAATCGTCGAGTTTTGTGTTTCGTTACGTGAAGAAAGCGCTGCTTCTGAAGACGATGTGAGGTTTTTTGATAACTCAAGATAGAGAAAACTGGTTCATTTTTACTCTACTTTTTTATCGATACTTCGTTTAATATATGAGGTTACTACTTACAGAGTATCAGAAAAAGTTTTCATAAGAATTTGCTTATTGGTTATTTTTTGGATTTTTCCTACCTCAGATAGGCTGGACTCCAATTATGATTGCATGCTCAGCTGGACGGTTAGAAGTTGTTAAATACCTCGTTAAACTCCCATATGTTAATGTCAATAGTGCCAACTGTAATGGCCAAACAGCCTTACACTACGCTTCAAGTCGAAATCATCCCCAGGTTTGCAGCACTGTATATTGGTTAAAAATCCAATTTATGCTTTTTACAAACTTTGTAGCTTACGATTTGTAGATCACTTCAATTCTTCTTAAGAATGGTGCGAATGTGAACGCCCAAGACAAGTTTCGTGCTACTCCGCTTCATCGAGCAGCTTCACAAGGGCATGAAAAAGTACGGTAGCTTTTAGTGACTTGTTCCTGATATTACTGTTGGTTTTCTTTGAATGCTTTTAATCACAAGATTTCCCTCTTCTGTTTTTTCCTCCTGTGTTAGATAAAAATTGAAAACATGTGCCTTGGCTTAGAAACTAAAGTTTGCTAACAGAAATGTTTTGTTTCTAGAACAGTTTAATATTTTTTGAACCTATTTAGGTTGTTTCAGTTCTTTTGAGCGCACCAGGAATTCAGATTGACCTTACCGATTCGTCAGGTTGTTCGGCCTTGTAAGTACAGGCTGTTTCTGCTTTTAACCTTTTGTAAGGGAAGCACAAAACGGTCTTAATAACTTATCCTTACAAAATACCGTTGACATAATATGCGGCTTGTTGGTTGCAAATGCAGTCGGTTATAAATTACTATAGTGAGTTGTAATCCAAAAGAATAAATTAACGCTGAATTTCTACTATTTAAACTCTTGATTTTATTTGTTTTGGAATAATTTCTATTGTAGTGAAATAATTAAGACTAGCCATCTGGGAGTTAGAAAAATGCGAAGAAACTAATTTCAGGCATTTGGCAGTTGAAGAAGGTAGGGAAGATATAGCTATATTGCTAGTGAAGAAAGGAGCAGATCTTTATATGGAAAATAAAGTAAGCCTATTTATCGTCAAATGTGATAGGCTTAAACGCATTATTAAATCTAAAAATTCTCAATAATTACAGGAGAAGAAAACTCCTATTTCGCTGGCCGGGAATGGAGAATTACGGAAAAAGTTGGTTGGTGCTGGCAATTGGGTGTCTTCAGGCTAGAATTGTGATTTTTTGCACAACATTTGTTTTATTCAGTTTTTATTAACTTTATGGAATTTTTTGTACATCATTGTGCTTAACCTTAAAAATTTCATTTTCAGTCTTTAAATAACTTTGCGATTTATAGGGAATGGGCATTTTTGTTATCTTTTGAGAAAGATATCAGAGCGTTAGTTACCTCTAGTTGCCGCAGGTAATACATACTTGAAGAGCATTTGTTTCAAGTGTGAGTTTACCAGTTCTGCCTTCTTAGGTGCTATGTTCCCGCCAAACATGCTTTAAATTGGTTTATTTTATAAGAGCGTCAGGGAGTTGATGAAACTATTCTCGAACGGATTCTTGAGAAATAAGTTTTGAGAGGACCCTTACTTTATAAAAAACATTTTGTTGGTGATTTATTGAACTTATCGTCATTTATCTGAGCTAGAAAAATGATTTGAAAAAGATTTTAGTCTGAGGAAAAGTCAGAGGAGTAGTGCAGAAAATGTTAATTTACTTGGAGTCTACAAAAATTAGGTTGCCAGAAAGAAGAAACCAGAGCTTCTTAGATGGTTAAATGGAAGACAGCCTTAAAAATGCTATTCGGGTGGCAGGGTGCGGGACAGTGGGAAGAGGAGAGTGAGAAAAAGTAGACTCTTGCTCATTTACTGTTACTTGGTGTGTTCAGCAGAAGAGTCAAGTTGTAGTTAACTGTTTGTCTTGTATTTGATTATAAAATCAAAACTGATGCACTAAACGCGATAATGAAACTGACAACTACGTGTGTTGTTGAGGAAATAAAGCTTTTAAATTGCCCCTTTTGAAGCACGATTTACTAGTCCTCATTATAGGCAGAGGTTTCAAAAGCTGTCACTCAAATCTATAACACCTCTTGAAAATTGTTGATTGAAAAACGCTTCTTTCAGTGCTGTAGTTGTCTTCTTTTTCACAATAATTGCTGTTGCCTTTTTTGCATGCAATATATATCTGCTTATTTGGAAAAAAAAAATTAGAATATTTTTTCCTTGTTTTCGCTAAGAAATACTCAATTATTTGAAGACACAAATGTGTGTACATACACTTTTTTTTCTCTGGATCAAAAGATTTTTTCCTCACCGTTATCTCATCAAGTGAATAATAAATAGTTGGAAAAGTTGTGTTAGCTGGATGATTGACTGTTGTTGGCTAGTCGGCACACAATAGCAAAAACATTGATCTGTTTATGGAAGCAGTCGTTGTTGTTGTTGGTTAATGGACTTTGTGAACAAGTAGAAAGGGAGTTGATGAAACTGAATAAAAAAAAGTATTCAATTTTTTTTTTTGCTTCCTGATCAATTTGATGAAATTGTACAGCTGTTTCTTAGGGAGTAAGAGTGAGGCTTTTGCTACTACTAATACTACTACTACGACTGCTGCATGTTGTTTTGTTGAATTTCTTTATTTAAACATTTCAAATGGCAAACGGTGACAAAGTCGGGAGGTTTGAGTCCGCTGTGTTTTATCATTGTCGAATGTGTGGTGTTGAAAGAAATGCTTAGTTGTTTGAGTTGTTGATCCTTTTCGTTGCTTCATCAAAATCATCATTATCGATGGTGTGTTCGTTGAGTGGCTCGGGAAGACGTGAAGAGGGAGAGCAGCGAACAGAGGAAGGACAAACGGACGAGAAGGAAGAGGAGAAGAGGTGGAAAAAACAACAAGATTTTTCATGCAATTTAATCATTTGTTTAGGGGAATTAGAAAAAAGTGTAAGTTTACTGTGGCCAACAGCGACAGCAAACGCTTTGATTTTTTCTTCTTTGAAACAAAAAAAGTGATCAACGATTTCAAGCTGTACGTTGGTTGCCCTTCAATTCTATGCATTCGGAAATGAATCGTTTCTTTGAGACTATTAATTCTGCTAGAGAAATAAATAAGTGAAGTTTGAAATTTCAGCCAGATATGTAAACTTTTTTGTTCTTTTTCATTCAAAACAACTTCCAACATTAAAATGTGTAAGTTGTATAAATTTGTACCTAAATGTATTGTCTTAATTAGGATCTCATATATATACATATAATGATAATCAATCAAAGTTATTTATACGTATTAATTGGGGTCTGGCAAGGTTGCAAACTAATAAGTGAATGAAGCCGAAGGAAAACAGAAAAATGAAGATGAGAAAATATATGAATAATTTAAAAAACTAGTAGCATTAACTTTCAAATTATTTATTTCATTAATAATATTATGTGCGTTTGTAATGTGTATTTGCAATTGGTATTGATATGTGGACTTATAATATGCTTCTAATAGCCCTAACCGCAGTAGCTGCCTCTGAAATACAGAAAGTACAAGCTTTTAAATTAGAAACAAAACTAATTTTTTTTTTTTTGAAGTCTGCTGACGAATACGCAGAGGGCGCAGGGTAAAGTGAGAGAAACTAATTATTTGGCTTTTTCTTCCGTATTTTGTACTTTTTAATCAACAAAGTTAAGTTAAAGAATTAAAGTAAGAAGCGGAAAATGTTTATAGTTGCTACTGTTTAAAAACTGCCAAGGTTTATTTATGGGAAGTCTAATTAGTAGTTTTCTTTATATAAACGCCGTTGTTTTCACAGTAAAAAATTTTTTTTCTGCGGCTTAACCAGCAGTCCTTCAAATGAGAGCCGTCTGCTTGTAGATCAGATGTATTCTGTACATGTGTTCTGGTAAATAACCGATTACGGTGGTTGTGGCTGCTGGTGCTGTCTGTAAAATATCAACAAAGACAGTGAACTGATTAAATGCAGACTGATGTTTTAGCGAAACCAGCCCAAACAAGTCATTTGTCCAATGTACGTCTGTAAATTATGGATAATAGTCGTTTGCTTCAGATTTCTTACAGAGCTGACGCCGACTGATTACCTTTATTATGCGATATTTTGTCATTGGAAAAAAAAAAAAAAAAAGAGAAAAAAAAATGAAGGGAAAGGGACAGCAAAAACCGTTTTTTTTTTTTTTTTTTTTTTGCTTTCTTGTATTTTCAATAGCACTGAAAAATAAAATAAAAGGAGCAATTCTGAAACTACTGGTATGAAAATGAGTAGTGAAACTGATGAATCCTTTTCTGAATTACCCTGAGAGAAATCATCTGCATGATTGGCTGTCTGTATGCACGTTACTCGTTAATGTAATGCATAATGTTTTTCGCTACTTTGTGATTTTTATCCGCAAAAATGATTTTTGCCTGAGAACCCGGAAACAACAACAGATAATCGCTGCTACGGCAGTTGTAGATAGTTGTAAAAAGAGGAAAGCAAAAAGAAAAAAAAAAAGCAAGGCAAAATAGGAAAGAAGTGGAAGATTGAAGTCCACTAGGCGAGTTATGAATATATTTAGGGCGTGGTTATTCGGCCACTGTTTGGTATTCCTCGTTTGGGCCGCTTTGTGTGCACTGAATGAGTGTTGTTGAACGGCCCTTATGGATGGATATCACTGAGTTTTTGAGGCTGCAGCTAACTGCAATTTATAGATATCTGATTTTATAGGAACAACCGCTGTTTCCTGTTTCATTTGAACTGAACTGATCATCAGGTAAAGAAAATAAAAAATTTTAATTCTTGTTTATTTATTTACATATTTGCATCTTCTTTGATACAGTCATTATTTTACTGGTTATACTACAGTTCACTATTTGATTTAGAATAGGAGCAGCAGACTGTAAGCTGATCTGTATTCCTGTTGTTGCTATTGTCTTTAATTTTGTTACTGTTGCTGCTGCCGTTAATCGTGGTTGTCGTGGTGTCATTGGTGTCTTATATGTTTATTTTACTTTTCTTCTTATTTTTCTACTACTTATTCCGCGTTTAATCAGCTTAAAATAGCGTTTGAAATTTTTAAAACTGTCACTGCTGCTGGTATCTTGTAAACGTCAACGTTGTTCTGTATACTGCAAATTGCATCAGTCAACTGAGATTGATTGGTCGTTAGCCACCAGCAGAACGACATATCAGTAGAATTAATGCCAAGAAGTGCCTGCTTAAAGAGTACACTCAGTTATCCGAGGTGGTTGTTCGGGCACTGACCAAAAAACAAATAAAAAAAAAAAAAAAAAAAA